GCCTTATAGCACAACAGCAACACCAAGTAAAAAATTGAATTGACCGTATTATACAAACCATCTCAAGATCTGAGTATATTGATGAGAATAGATATAATCTAACCGACTCTATAATTATACATTAACTCATACTTACTAAGTATATTGTTATAATTATAATATTATTATAACTATATGGTATGTATTAATTGCAAACTTAAGCTGAATCTGACACTGTATAAATATTTGTATGTTCAACATTTTAGTTTTTTTTTTAAGTTTTTAGTATTATGTTTATACTTCATATAATTATAATAGTTAAACGATAAGGTTTTTAGTGTTTTCTCCGTACTAAACGTAGGTGTATAAAATATATAACAAGATAATATTATACAAAGTAATTGAGAATATCCCATTTTTAGATTTATCTATTAACAAAATTATTTTTTTAAAGAATAGATAACGCGTGTCTTTTTATTTATACAAAATATAATGATCGTAATTACCTTAAATTCAGTAATATGGGTTTAATAAGTATCTTACAACTTAAATTCAAACGCTTTGTATGGGCAATTAAGATAACATACTATGCAGTTATAATATATTAATCATAAATACAATGTTTGTGAGTAAATTTATGTACATTTAAAAAAGGTAAATAATATATTCTTATCTGTTATAGGTATGATTTAGTTGCCACGTGTACATTTACAAATTAATGTTCATTTATCATTTAAGTATTTTTTAATTCCAACAATACAAGAAAATTAATGTATGAAATGTAATTCCAACAATGAAATGTACAATTTAGCGTATTAGATATTTGACTTTAGTTCCACACTATTTCCAACAAGGAATATTTTTGTTTTGTAAAGGCAAAAGTTATTTTAATAGTTTGAAAATTTGAATTTTTTCATTTTACATAAATTAGCATTGCTAATTTTTCTTATTCAAAGTCGTGATATGTTTTCAATGTTATTATTTAAAAAAAAAACTCATATTGTGTGACTGTAGGAAGTATATAACGAGTTGAGCTTATAATTGTTTGTGTATTGAACGCATCATTGAATTGTATTTATTAATTTCTACTTTTTATCTCCAAACTCAGCATTGGGATTTTTCAAAAATTGGAGTTGGTTTTTGGGCAAAACGAAATCTTGAGAACTAAAGTAAAGCAACAAAATTACGAGTCTCCGGATAACGTCGGCAACTTCCGTTTATAATATATATGCGGCGCTATCAATCAGCCTAATATTTAATTACTAATAAATATATTTGTTTGAATTTGTTAAGTTTAAATGAATAAAAATAATTTACTTTGGAAATTTAAAGCATTAGGTTGTTTTTTTAATCAAGCAACGCTTGGTCTTCTAAAACTTAAAAAATAATTTTTAAATTTGAAATTTTAAAAATCCTTTATAACACATTAGTTTATTAATATAATTTACTCATACTTAGGTATTATTTTCTCGATAATTCTTTTAAAAATTGCCTCTATTTGTGTGCTGTGTGGTGCAGCTTTGAAATAAATTTATCGAATTTTAGATAAAATTATTTGTCACAACATGGAAAATATGAAAAAGAGGCTTATTTTGTAAAAAGAAATTTAGATTTTTACTATGTTCTAATGCATGTAGGTAGGTATCATATTTATATTTTAACGAATTCTGAGATCACTCTCTTATTTATTTATTATAATAATGACACCCCTTGAGGCAAGAGTATTTTAAAACAAGTTAATTATGTAACACAAAAAAATACTATGAAACAAAAAATCACTAACAGATTAAAGCTGATTAATTCGAAACACGCAAGCCTAAATCAGACATAAAACAAACAAACAAATAAATTACAAAAACTCAGCATTCAATCCACTGGGTTATTACAACTGTAGTTTTAGCGGTGGAAAGGGACGTGGAAAGGTTGACGTATCCTATTACTAAAACTAGGTATTAGGGACGGTCACATCTATTGAACCTAATTCAGTATTCAAAATATTATCGGATAACCATGTTTCTGTTAATTAAAAAAAAATCTAAAGACATTATTTAAAGGTGTATTTTGGTTAAAATTATTTAACTTGGTTCTCAAACCCCTTACATTTTGATAATAACCCGAGAATAAATTAAAATTTGATACATTAACATTAGTGATATTAAAGCTAGTTAGGTACAGTTTAAATTATTATTTATTATTGTGTTACGATTACAGGGACGACTTCTTAGCAGGAACACCACGAATGTTTTTAATAAACCAGCCGTCTTCTTATCAGTTGTTTTTATACATTTTTCACAAAACAAAAAATGTTTGTGTAAGTAGGTACGCGACGAAACTCCCGTGCGAAAACAATCTGGTTAATTGAAAAACTATAATACATTATTACGATAGAAGGTTTAAAGAGTTTATTATTTTTAATAAAATATCTAAATACTATTTCAAAAACCGTACTATTTTTTTTAAATTAAAAATCAATAAATCAAAAACTAAGACAGCGTCATGCCAAAGAAAAGCACCATGTGTCGTGTGAGGTTTTATTCACCAGATACAATTGTTTTATCCTTTTCATTTTGTAACTTCGCTTTTACATATTTTAAATTGCTTTTTCCGATAAAAATTTCACACTATTAAAAAATGTACTTCCATTCTCTTATTTTTTTTTTTTAATTTAAAAATGTAATTTTATGAACTAAGAGACAAAAAAAAATATTAAATTTCGTATATCCATCTATGGTTGGCAATAAAAAATAACGGTTATTTTCATAGTTAAAAACAACTACACGAGACAAAGATTATTTGAATACACTCCCGCTATTTTATTTTTGTTTTACGCTGAATGGCGCACTAATAACTAATAATCACATTTATTGACTTGACTATTATATCATTCCAATTAAAAACAACTTGTATGTACTTATATTACAGAATTACATGAATACTCAAGTATTACAACGTGATTATGTGTGTAATATCTAATCACTAAACATTATCGAACATATAGTATAGCACATAAGGGTAGAAGTCTTAAAAGTTTAGTAATAATCGTGAGCAAGAATATTCTTCAATATCAATAATATTTGACAATATCCTTTTTTACACAAATTTTAACGAAATAATATAGGAAATAAAATAAAGGTAAACATTTCATATTTATATATGTAAATTTGTTATAAGCAAATTTACAAGTATTGTACTTAGTTATTTTCATCACCATTGAGTAAAATATATATAGTTATCCAAGAAATTATTATTAATAACTAATGATAATACTGGCCAACAATATATATATAGTTATTTTTTTATTACTGAGAATACATATTACCGATTAAGATACTAGCTATTGAGATAATAGTTGTATTATTATTGAGAACATTCTCACTAAATTCACCTAAGTATACTTAACCACCGTTCACGTCGATAAGCTATGAAATTTGAAATTTTACCATATAAATTGATTTATGATAACCACAACACTATACTACAGAATGGTAGTTAATATTTATAGACATTTAAATTCCTTTTTGACAAATGTGATATTATGATACAAAACTTTTTTTATTGCGTCCATTAAATGTTTTGGCACCCAACGAATTTACAATCTTCCACATCCGGTTATTTTTGGTAAAAAATACTTATTGCTTATAGCTCTACTAAGTTTTCTTTATTTTTTATTTCTTCGGAGGCCCAATTTTTTAAATAAACAACGGAATGTTATTTCATCAAACTATCACAGTGAAAATTATTGACTGTGCACATAATATTGAAATTAAATAACTTCACCTCAGACGCTGATAAATAATTACTGTATAGATTTAATGCGAACATAAAAATGTTAGCAGTTTTTCGTAGTTGGTATACTTAAGAAAACCAACTATTTTTTTTTTAAGTACTAATAAATATATTCAAGAAAGTTAAAAGTTGTTTCATCTATTTCACTGTTATAGTTTTATGTTTCTGTAGCCAAATGTTTAAGGGCCAAACGCAACTATTTCTTGTTTCTATACAGGAAAAACTGAAGCGTTATTATATTACGAGCGCTTCATGTTACGCATCACGATTATTATAATTGTTATAGATTTTATCTGAGGCAATATATTATGTTAACTCTACTTGTATGTATAATATTATTACACGATTATATTTTGCGTTTCTTCGTGCTTTAAGAAATATTATGAATTTGGTAACGAGTTCGCTGGCATTTAATGCTCATATCTGAGCATAACTATTATATTCATGTACATATATATAGTATTCATATTGCAGGGTGGGCCTTTAAAAATAGCCTCTTACTCGTGTATAAATTATTATTTTCTACAAACCCGCCACGTTACTGCATGAAGCGTAAAAGCAAATACTGAAAAATTATAACACTTTTGTTTTTTACACCGTCATGTAGTTAAATATATGTTTTATAAAAATAAATTCTATGAACAAACGAACAAATTGAAAACGTGTAAACGTTTGATAAAATAAATCATATTTTATACACACATAAATAATAATCCATAAAATATGTAAATAATAACGTTATAATAAACTTATTATTTTAAAGCCACTTGTATATACTACAAAAAAAAAATGCAAATTTAATTTATAACGACATTGTAGTGATCATTTATCAGTTCTAAGACCAACAACATTAATCATATTTTACTGGAACATCAACACACGGAGGTAATGTAACAAACTGATAGAATACTTTGTGAATTATTATAGATAGACAAGTCACAAGTTTACATATGTATCACGTATTACCCATGTATCAAAATGAAAAACTGGTTTTTCAAATAAATGTCTGTTTTTCGGCGAAACAATAAATATTATGTTATTATATATAACCATAAGGTGCTCAAGTTTTTTCTAGAATAAATAAACATCAACTCCAATGAATGGTAGGACAACAATACCTACTCAATGATTGTCTATCTATATTATACGTTTTAATTTATTATGAGACTCCGATTATTTGTACCTACTTAATAATTAAGTTAAAAGGATAACGTATAATATAACTTCAATATTACCGGAGAGTCCAGGAGTTTTCTTTAAAATAAATTCCCCGTTTTCTCTTCTCCATGTGATGCTGGGCGTAGGGAATCCGGACGCCGCACACTGCATTGATACATTTCCACCTTCCCTAGCTACAATGTCAGTGCTGGTCGGGTAGTCCAAAATATCTGGAGGCACTGTGAATAAGCTTTAATTATTATTCTAGAAAATTAAATAATATTACAGAGGAAGCTAAGCATAATACATAAATAGCGATTGTTAAAATAATATTAGTGATACAAAAAGAGAATTTCATAAAATATGTTTTTACTGTCGTTATCATAGCATATTGTAACATCACGATACTACATTTTTACAAAATAACGCAGTAGCTTATAATATTCTATTGACAATCTTGGTAATAAAATTATAACATTGAAAGCAATAATGATATGAATTAATTCATATTGATAAATATAGTTTTCAAATGTATCAAAAGGTTCAACAAAGATCGAGAATTCACTATATATTTTCATAATAATTGAAACAGCAAGAAACTTGAAAATATAAAAATATTGCGTTTACTTTATTTTAATTTTACTATTTAGAAACCTTAAGCAGTTCGTTACACCAATGAATAAAAAAAAAAGTAATTTATTTTGATATAAAAAGCTTTTGTCCTGGTGTTTTTCATATTCTGCCTTTATATTTAAAATACTGAGCTGTTTTAAAAAAAAGCTATTGAAAGTCTTCATTTGACTACGAAAAAAATATAATATACTTAAAGAGTTGTACAAACATTTTATTAGCCAACAATCTTATTATATTAATATATTTTAGTTTCGATGTGTATGTGAGAAGATATTGTTTTTATAATGGGAGTGTTTTTATTCATTTTTAATTTAATTTTTTTATTTTTGTAATAAACCGGCCATATCATATCCTTCCATAATTCCCTATCCATTGACATTTCTTTATTCCCTCCATTGTATAATAATTGCTTCTTCTTAGGTCCATTTCAAACTTTCAATTACTTTAAAATCTACTGTTACTAAAATGAAAACATAATTACTGCATAAATGCAATTCAGCTACTTCCATGTATACTACATTATTACTGCCTGCTAGATACATTATTTTCAATTTTATACAATTGTCCTATTCCTCCAAAATAACCGTTTGTTATACTCTTTTTTTAACTTATTCATATATATTTTATTATATTATGAAACTTTTATTTAATAAAATATTTACACAGTGATATGTCAAATAAAAAGGCCTGTCTTTGCAATTTTAATACTATTTAAATAACAACAAAAATAAAAAAAACTCCTAAACAAAGTGTACAAAGTGCCAGAGTAGAAAGTTAACCTGTTTGTCTGTATTTGAAAGGAAACTGTTAGTATGACAAACAAACGGTTTTAAAAGTCTAATTATTTTGGGTTGATTTAAAATAGCAGAGTGCATGCAAATCGGATGACTTTCGGCACATCCGGGTTTTTCGAAACTCTTGGCTGCTTAGAAATCCAAGTTTGTAAGTCAAATACAACCGTCATTTTTATTTATTTATACATTAATCGTTTTGAAGGAGATAAAGTACTTTTTTTGTCCATCCGGTTTGGGCACCGCTGACTGTGGGACGTTTTGGATATTGTGAAATACCACACAAAAGTATAACATGGGACTGGCGGCTAAGTGAAAAAAGAAGTCCGACGTCAACAATATCCTTACGGACAATATTGAAACTCTACAAGGATATATTATGGGAAAGGACGCTGTATTAAAAGGGTTAAGTTGGTCGCAGGAGAAAAAAACAAGTTAAGCATCGGGATGACATTTTGTCAGAATCTTGCAGAAAGTTTTTGCATGTGTCCCTCGGTGTAACATCCGAAGCAATGTTCTATACAACAATGAGCGGTTTTTTGTGCCAAACGTCTGGCATCCACCTCTCTCTTTATAACATCTAGTTCCGTAGGATGAATGTTTTACTTTGTCAGTTCTGTCACTTATTCTAGTTTTGGGCTTACAACACGGTATTTGGTTTAACTTTTTTCTTTCTTTGTTTCTACGTGAGTGGTGGGTATAGACATAAACATGTAGGTCTGTTCCCGATTTCTCAAAAAATGAAAAACTTTTCTTTTTTGTAATTTAATTTTTTTTGTATGCAAACTGTTATGTATGTAACTCTATTTTTAGTTTAAAAACTACCATATTTTTACAGAAAGGTGACGACTTTAAATAATACATAACGCATAAAAATACTATTTACCAACTTTTTCCTAAATATGTTTAAAACTAATGCCACAATAATAATTGTATGTATGACCTCCGTAAATATATATAATAATTTATCATTTTGCTGCTACGGAAAACAAAATAAATGTGTTATATTATCATATACCCATAACAACATAATAAAACATTATACACTTTAAAAACGAAATGAAACTACAAATTAATTTAGTATTATACTTCTAAAATGTTTAAATAACGTTTCTTTTTTTTTAAGATAAACTAAGTCTGTTATTTTATGGAACATAGAAATAAACACCTCAATTGAAATATGATTGAGTAATGCGCGCAGAAAAAAATAATACTACAATGCACTCTTCCTCCCGTCCTAATTATATAATTTACTCAGAATAGCTTTTAAAATTATCCAACTACAAATACTAATAATCAGATTTTCAATGCCGATAAAATCAAATTTTGAGTGGACAACTATTTTTTGGTCATTCAAAATTATTGTAATTGTTATTTTACTTTTGTATATATATGATTTTCTAGTATTGAATTATAAAATTAAAAGAAAATTCCACTCGTGAGTATTTTTTTTATGAAGTCAAATTATAATTTTATTGTATGGTATACATATCTTTATGAATAACACATTTCACTAATATTTATTGAGTCGTCTTCAGATTCCCCAAAGATGTTTATAAAACATAATTAAACAATAATTTAAATTTCTAGCAGTGATATCACTGCTACGACAATAGTCGTGCTCGCAAAAATACGCTTTTAGATGCTTTATAGATTATATACATGTAAGATTGTTATGATAACTTGTCTGATAACTTCAGCTTATTTAATAACAGCTTGTTTAAAAACTATTAGAAAATTGTACATCTATATTAAATTTGTACTTATACATTTTCAGTCAGAATTGATTAATAAAAAATGATATGAAAACCAAAAAATTTTTAACTCAGCTCCGAAGCGTCATAATACACTATCATAATTATAATGTTGTACATCTTAAAATGTATGATTTAAAAATAAAAGTAAAAAAATCAAATTTTCTACATCTATTATACTTCTTAAAACATTTTCTTTATTTCTGTTTTTCGACCCTACGGAACTAGCTTTTTTTAATTTAATATACTTGCCTAAATGTTTACAGATTGTTTGAAAAAAAGTTTATAAAAAATATTTAATTTATTTATTAAATTGACTGTAAACAGCATATTATTATGTTATAAGAGCTATCGCTCTAAGCTACTAATATTATTTCGTTTGTTAAGTTAAACCAACCTGTTTTTTATATTTGTTTTGACTTATGTTCCATTTTATCGTTTTAAATTATTGAACTATTTATAATTTTAATTTATTAATGACTATTATTGTTGGTATTTACTTTTTTTAATAATTCAGTCTCTTTTAATAATCGAATAAAATACAAAGGTTAATTAATTAAATTACATAATTTACTTAACAATACGATAACATGTGTTACAACCCGTTAGACCAAGTTATTTTTTTTTTAATTTATAATTGTTATGAATATTTAATATCGTATGTTCTAAAAATAAATTAATATAACATTTTTTTTTATAAAAAGTAATTAATGCATATTTCAATTTATTTTTGCATTTAAATTATAACTTTTTTTTGTGCACTAATTATTGTTTGTATTGCAAAATAGCAAAGAAAATCTAAAAAAAATGTACAGCTATTTTTTATAAAAATATTATGATATGTTTACAGTAAAATTAACTAATAAACATCATGTAACATAGACGTTTATGATGTAAGATATTAGTAATGGTTTGTTTGTGACTTCAGGTTACATCTCGCTGTATAGTTAATATTTCAAAGTAAGTACATGCAAACGCTGCTTAGTGCTAATTAGCTTTTAAGTACTGTTAATACCAAGCTGAATGCAAACATGAATATTAAGACAATTTGTATAACTAAGTTATATATTTTCTCTGGACGATGAAAGAAAATATTATATCGAGATGAGAGATTTAAGTATATTGTATTTATGAACTTCAAAGAGATAAAATCATTTTCACACAGATTTTTTTCTGTCGTCTCGTGAAAGTTTCCTTACCAATTCACAAGAACCCTAATCGAATTATAAGACCCCAGAAATTTTACTTTTAAATGAGACGTGAACAATCGAGTTAAGTTCTTGTGAAACTGTCATTCTAATCTTCGTTAGAAGTAAATTGAAATTGAAACGTATAAATTTATACACTTAAGCAGAGTGTTTATTTTTGTAAGTTGACTTAAAACTTTTATTTTATGCGATAACGTAAAAACCATTCAGCGTTTAAGATGAACTGGATAAAAACTAGTTTTTTATATCTTTTTCGGAATGTGTAAGTTATTTCATTTAGTTTTATTTGTAAATAACTGTTACAGCAATTATTTTAGATTTGGTTGTCTACAAGATGTATCTAAAATGAGTATTAATAATAATTTTATTTAACTATCGTAGAATAACAGGTTTATGGAAATTAAAATTTGTAGAGTTCCACGAAAATTAAATTACATGCATTTTTATCTCAAAAATATGGCTTTAAGTAAAATTACATTAATAAATTTTAACATGGAAAAACGTGGACGTAATTGAATTCGGTTTGGCATTTTTCTATTTGATTTGGTTTTGGCTTCGACACGAAGCTGAGAAGGTGTACAATGATGTGTTTTTATTTTAATTTAATTTTTTTTTGTGTGTGTCTGGACCCACGATATCTTTTAAACCGCTGAACTGATTTCTTTATGTATCAATTTTATACATCAGTAATCGTACCTCAAAAGTACTTTATTGGATTTTATATGAAAAAAGTTCACCTTTCTATTCAGAATCGAGAAAAACACCATATTTTTTAACTCAAAATTATGACATGCTATAACTTTTATTATATGGAAAAAGTCCAAGTGTTCCAAACTTTCAAGGAAGATTTTTTAGTTATAGTACTATCGATATACGTTAATAAAGTAAAATAATATCAAAAACATTTCCCCCCTTTATTTTACTTTTTCGAGCACAGTTTTGTGACTTAAGGTCTCAAAATTAGAATGAAGGTGAATCCAAAGTAGAGTTCCAACATACAATGAACTCAGAAATTTGTAGGGAATTTTCTGGTATGTTATAGAAAACACCCCAAAAAAAGGAATTTACACTGCTGCCACATTTCTATATGTTAATAAATAGTCAACAAGTATCTGACAAACATTTTTATTCTGTTGTTGATTACGATAAATGGATAACAACAGCAACAAATTATTATAGGAAGACGATCAACCCCAATAGTGTTCACCTTAATATTAAAAATAGTACATTTTTGTCTTTACAATGTTTTTATCGGTGTATAAATGACAGAACTATAGAAAACTAACAACAATAACTACCAATAAAAAGTATTTAATCAAAAAAATAAAGCAATTATACATTTACAACCCTTTTATTATTACTTATTAATTATTCTACGAACAAAATGGTTTGATAATGTTTTTTAGCATCTCTATCAATCAGTTTAAAATTGTAAATAATTAGTAAGTTACTTTATTCACTTCTGAATAAAGTGTACAGAATATAATATAATAATCATATATTCATATAGGTCAAACGGAGAACTCTTTGTTGAGTCCGATGATTTACGAGTAAAACAATATATTTATTGTACAAATGTATGGGGGATGCAAATATTTTTAATAACATTGATCACGAACTAACCTTTCTGAGAATATAAATTATAATACAATATTTCGATGCACTAAATGAACTCGGGTATAAGGCAATTTGCACTTTTAGCTCTTTTTTAAATACTACTTTATTACCTTCTGTTTTATAGGTATATATTTATAAAAATCAAAGAAAAATAATGAACTGAAGTAACGTTAAAAATTAGTATCTTACTATAAATTGCTGTTACTAGAACTTTTGTGTATAGAAAATTTTTCATTGAGCTCTACTAAATATAACAATGCATATTTCTATAACACGATTACATTGAAAATAGTAATTTCTTTTTAATCTCCTATAAAGTATTATTGATAAAGCTGTACTCTTTTATAGTCAACTCCATTTCAATTAAGGCATATTTTGTATATAAAAAATAAAAAGTATATACATGTTAGCAGATATCTAGATATGACAACATAATATAATTATAGAGGTTGAGTTGAATAGTCTAAAAACTTTTAATTGGAGTTTTGATCACTGTCCTGGTTTGCTGCTGTGTACTTTTATTTGCCTCAATTAACATGGTTGCACAAAACCTTTCAAAACTTTTTTGAGTTATAAAAACATAATATGACTTTACTGTGTTCAACTAACTTATCTCTACTCCCCCCCCCCCACTTACCAACTACTTCCAAGTAACCCTGTTGGCTCTTCATGGGGTCGGTATTGATTTGACACATATACCATCCTCTATCTGCCTCTCTGACTTCACGAATATGTAAATACCATATTCGATGATCGCTGTGGGTGACGGCGATCCTGTGATTTTTCGTAATCACGTGGCTGTGAATAGTTAAAATCGTTTGTGTGTCGACTCGCAACCAAGCCACCTAAACAAAACCAATCGGTGAAATGCTTTACTTATGTTACTACTATAAAAGCATTAATTTAAAGTTGTAAAGTCATATACAATAATATATTATTATAGTTCCATCTACTTGTAATTTTTTTGAATTCCAAAAAATACAAATTTTGTGACACAAAATATTTAAAACTCAACCTCAATCATATCATATAAATTTACTTTATATATTAAGGACATTTATTTAATGATATATGTTATAATAAAGTTTACTGTACCATAATCATAAACATTTTTTAAATATTAATTGTAAATATCCTATAAAGATAATTCATGGCGATTGTAACCAATTTACTGACATTATTTCCTCAACTTTATTTAATAAGTGTTACATATATAATATACCTTATACGTAGCTAGTCCATCAACATTGCATATAAACACAGCTTCACGACCAACAGGAACTGTAACGTTGTTGAGGTCATCGCCAAACTTTGGAATAACTCCTAAAACATGCAAATTTATAATATTATTACACTATTTCGATCGTCGAGTAGGTATTAAACTTAATTAAGTTGGGCCAAAGATATTAAAGTTGCTATTTGTTAAAAGCAAGACTAAAGATAATACAGTATAGGTAAATCGAATTTTTTTAAGCGAAAATATTTCTTTTTATTATCAGTAATAGTTTGACAATTTGGAATGTTCGAGGAAATATATTAATCTCTCAAAAAAACAATATTTATATTTTTAAAGTAAAATAAAAATTGTATTAAAATAGATTCAACAGTTTATAGCCAAATAAAATACTGATATCACGATATTTTTTTAAGTATTATTAGCTTCCGTGCGGAGCTGAGAAGTTATTGTATTTACAACGATGTGTTTTTATTTATTTATTTTTTTTTTTTTGTGTCTGGACCCACGATATCTCGTAAACCGCTAAACCGATTTCTTCGTGTAACAACTCTATACATCAGAAATCATACCTGGACGGTACTTTAAAGAGCCAAAAATTTAAAAAAGTCACCCCTTCCCCATCAAAATTGAAAAAAACACCCAAAAAAATTACAAATTTTTCAACTTAAAATTACGATGCTCTATAACTTTTTTAAAAATAGTTGAAAATGTTCTAAATTTGTATGAATTGTTCTTCAAACATAGTACTATCGATAAACATTAACAAACCAAAAAAATATCATAAACCTTTTCCCTTAGAAGGGATAGAATTTTTTTTTCTTTATTTAACTTTTTTAAGCAATGTTTTAAAAATTAAGGTCTGAAAATTAGACCGAAGGTAGATCTTAAATGAAACTATAACATATACAATTTTCTTAAAAATCTATATTCAAATTTTTATTTAGGAAAAACACCAAAAATAGGTAAATTTACACTTTGGCCATAGTCAGTTTCTAGGTTGCTATGTGTGAGTGAATCAACAGTCAATAGGTAATGAAAATATGTTCATTATATTATTAATAACGATATATTATGGGTAACTATGACAGTACATTTTTATAGACAGATGATCAACCCTTATCGTACCCACCCTGCACAAGATTAAATAATAAATTTTAAGTACATTATTGCTGGTCCCACGATATCTTCTAATCCGCTATACTGGTTGGAACATACTATCCACAGATCAAAGCGTGTTTCATCACTTTCAGTTATAATAAAATCTGTAGACCTGTGACCTTTCCGTCCCCGCTATGCCCCGACCCCACTGTATTGGCTTTTGTTTTGTTGTTTAGTAAAATGTTGACACATAAATGCTATAAATCGATTCAATGACCAAACTAAGATCAACCCAATAATAAAATGTACATGGTTTAAATTTTATGTTTAATAAAGCAAGCTGCTTCGAAATAATAATTATACACTGTCGCGGCGTTGCTAATTTTTTTTTTTTTACTTAGCTCGCACTACGGCATTTTGATGGATACTGTGTATATATGTATATATACCGCTTTATATAGACATCAATAATATTATATTAATAACGGAATACTTGAAATACAATTTTATTTGGTAAACATTGACGAACATTCAGAGAGAACGACTGAAAGAGGCTTTATATATTCAAAGCCTTTGAGCCCTTTTTGCATTCAAATTGGTTTTCGATCGACCATGTTCAATTTCTTTGGCGTTTTTTTTATGACTATACGGCTCGAAAGGAACGGTTTTCCTTCAATTTTCCCGATGAACAAGTCGTTATTGTTGTTTCTTTTCATCCGAAGTTATTTCCACCAAAAAACTTGTGAATCGTTACGGTTTTTATTTATGTCAGTATCATGAGCTCCCACGTTTTTACGATTAAAATAAATAAACCGAAAAAAAAGGAATTGAAATAAATAATAGTTTTTTTTCGTATTTGATTACTATGTTAAAATCGATATGCAAATAGAATTAATTGAAAACTACAAAAAAAAACCCGGATCAAATTATTTGATATTTTCTGGTTATAAATACAAAACATTGGGGTTATGACTGACTTAAAAAAAAAAAAATGTTGTTACTACCCTTTGAATCATTTTTATTTGTCAAAAAAGAGAAATGTTTAAAATGTCAGCCTTCTAGAAGTATTCTTAGAATTCTAAGTATTTCCTATAGAGCCACATTTTCCCTATTTGATTAACGTACATAATAAATAATTTTTTTATTAAAATCGTTGTACCTTCAAAGTTAATGAATAGTTTTAAAATTTAAAAAAATACTTTAAAAAGTTATGACAATTTGAATGGAAAATAAATTGTTTACATGTTAATCAAAAGGGGAAAATTGCTTCTATACAACCATTTAAGAGTTGTCTTAGAAGGTTAAAATTTTTAATATTTCTTATTTTCGTCATATAAAAACATATATAAAGCGAGTAGCAAAATTAAATTTTTTTTATAGTCTTAGTATATATATAAATATAATATAATAAGTCTGTATTGGTAATTTATTGCAGACAACCAACAAAGGTACTTCAGACGTTAGAGAAAACAATACTTCAATTACACTTCAAGAATTAATTTACTCTATGTAAATCCATATCGCTGATAAAACGTTAAACTATTTTAAGTGCGATTGAATCAATAAAAATGCATTTCTAAAGCCTGGAATTTACGGTGTGTCATAATTAGTACATTGTGGAAACGTCGTGTAAAAAACAATATCAGCGAATTCGATGTTTATTTTCTCTTCTAGCCAACACCAATTAATATTCAATAAAATAATTGTATTAAATAACAGTTTTTTTTAAGAAAGACAAGTTTAATTTAAATTTTAAATTAGGTTAATAAAGTTTAACTTCCTGTTTTTGTATGAACCCTTTTTACTACAATCTGGTGGTAAATGCGTTTGTCAAGCAATCTAATGTTTCTAATTTTAGTATATCTGTGAATCGTATTAAGTGGTAAAGATAATTTTGTATTTAATTATTGATATCAGGTAGTCGGTTACATTTGGCATTAACTTATGAACAAATGTACTACTTATTTATATGACATCAAAAATATTATGCGAAACAGCAGTATAGGTAGGTAAAATTTATCTACAACCTAAGTAACAGGTATAATAAGTAAGTATTATGCCTAAGTGACAAACAATACGACATGACACCTAGCAACATATTAAGTACTTAAATTTACTGGTTATTTATTCAAGTTATTTTTAAAAACGTTTTCGGTATTAAACTTCTTTTATATTCTGCTCTTGACTGTAATATTAATACAATATAGTGGTAGTTAATTGAAAATTTCATGTAATAATTTTTTTAGATGTTTGTAAATTTGTGTTTGATAAAAATAATAATGCAAAAATACAATATATATTTCTCGAGTGTTAAAGATTGTTTCTGCGTCGATTGGCATAACCTGTTGAACTGATAATTTGTTCACAGGCGCCAAAATCATACTTGACCTGGTATCCAAAAATGATTTGGTTTCCTAGTAGGTAATAAACGTTTGTCACCACTATAACGTTATGTACAATAACGATGTCACGAGTCGTGCCTAACCGTACTCTCATCACAATTATAAGCAGCTCGTGACGAATCTGCACGTCGCTATTGTTGCACTCCTAGTGGAAGTGCCCAGGAACTCGACACGTATGACACACGACTAATGTAATAATGTGCACTGCAACCGTGGTAAACATATTCAATCAATAGGTCACGATGAACTGCAGCAATATTTGCAAATTAGTATCTGGTAAAATTTGTGATCGGACTAAGCAGAACAACATCAGCTAGTTTACAACAAAATCCCATCAATTATTCCCCGAACCTATAACATATTTTGTTTTCCACGATAACTGTTAAAAATGTTCAGCTAATTTAACGATTTTACTGTATTGGTTATTTGTTAATGAAGTTGTGAAAAATAAATGTAAAATTTGTATAGCTTATATAATATAAAATAAAATAGTTTAAGTATCAAACGGTGTTTATTCAAAAGTACTGTACTAGTGTAATGCATATACTCATCATTCGTGTTGTACAAAATCACTCCACAAATAGTGTAGATATTTTAAGTAACATTTTAATTCCGTTTTGGTTTTATGCTGCCGCCTAACATAAAAATAGATGCTAATATTTTTAAACACATTTTCAACCTATTTTATCATACCTACTTATACAGTATACTGGATTTTAGCATTTTATAGTTTAAAATAATACCTCTCACATAAAAAAAGGTATGTATAAATTTGGAAGTGTTTAAAAACAGAAGAAAAACCACATAGTTTTTAGAAAAACATCTCAGGATTATATTATTGTTCAATTAAAAAAAATAACAATACTTCCACAACCCTGACGTTAAACCATTAATATTGTATTATAAAATATTATTTATGGATATTGAAATTAATAATATTTGGAATTAATACACACCGAATTCTAAATCATATCATCATTATTTAAGTATAAAACAACCAGAGTTTTTACAAAAACCATTGTTCTTTACCAAATTTTTGACATATCATTCATGTAACTTTCTTTTGTTAGTTATTCCTATAACAACTGCAAATAAAATACTATTAAAAATAAAAGAATAATTGAAAAACGGAATATTTAACCGGGGCTTTTGTTGTTATTTCTTTTTTTTTTTATTGTGTTTATTCACTTCATTTTATTTTACGAATTAAACAGTCGACTTTTGGTTTTGTCCAATTTTCTTTTAAATAATTAGTTACGTTATTTTTTACCCTTCAAGCAATAATATCTGTACAATAAAAAAGAGATATAAAAAGTATAAATACTTAGATACATAACAAAACAAAGAATCAAATGATACCTAAAAACCAAAAACAAACGTCCAATAGTTAATTAGAATGAACACTACATGTATAAGACTTTTTTTAAATATCTTGAAGGTATATAATATAAATAACTTAATTTATATTATCTTTTTACTTCGTATTGTTTTTTTAAATGCCTTTTTTTCGTAATTATTATTATTATGTGGTGTATAGTTATAAACTAATTTGGAACTTTTGTAATTTTTTGCTAAACACTGCAATA